ACATTTATCTGTATCCTTCTGTAAGCAAAGGAGCTATGATATTGCTGCTTTGCAAGGAAATTTTTCAACTGATAAAAAATTGTGGAATTTTTTTATGAAGAGGTAATTTAAAGACTAATACCTAACATTTATTAGGCATGTTAATTAACACATGCCAAACTGTGTATTCATTGCTTTATGTGCAGTATTTTATTTTTTCCTAGCTCAACTTTGAAATTCATACTGTTACTTTTTCTATTTTACATATAAGGAAATTGAAAGAGACTAAAGATAAAAGTAACTTGCTCAAGATCCAACACTTAGATGGAAAACAGCTGAACCCAGATTTAAGCTCAGTTGTGTCTTCTCTAAATATCATGTTTCAAGACCTAAGAAGTAATAGAGTGTCTCATGAGCTTTTTGAAGTTCAGATTAAATCCCACAGATAGTCTAAACTGAGGCAGACCTGCTGTGCTTAACTTCAGTTTATTGCCTTGCAGGAACTACAAGGAATTGTCTTGAGTTTTTATTACATTAATGTTTAGAATTAGTATTTTCTTGAAAAAAATGGAGTCATTTGTTTGGGACAGATAGATATATTTTGAAACAAAAGAAAGATGTTATCACAAACATGTTTAAGTTATTTTTAAATTGAACTGAAATCTAGCTGTTGGTAAGCATTTCTAAATTAAAGTTTAAACTCCAGATTCACGGTAGAAAATTACTAATTACATTCTGGTTTGTTGAAAGAGAATGTGATTTATAGAAAGACTAGAAGGTTAAAAAATCTGGTTTCTAGATCTTTGTTACTTTTTTATCTTGTGTCTTTTTTGAGACTTCACTTTACCCCTAAGCTACAATTTCTTCATTTATAAAATAACCCTCCACCAGGCACCAAAAGCTCATGCCTGTAACCCTAGGTATATAGGAGACAGATCAGGAGGATTGGGGTGCAAGGCTAGCCCAGGCAAAAAGTTAGTGAGACACCATCTCAACAAAAATTAAGCTTGGCATGGTGGTTCACACCTATTATCCCAGCGACAAGGGAAGTGTAAAACTGGAGGATAGTTGTCCAGGACAACTTGGACAGAAAGTGAGACCCCCATCTCCAAAATAATCTTACAAAACAGGGTGATTTGGAGATGGGGGTGAGACCCCCATCTCCAAAATAATCTTACAAAACAGGGTGGAGGCATAGCTCAAGTGGTAGAGTACCTGCCTACCAAGCACGAAGCCCTGAGTTCAAGCCCCTATACCACCAAAAATAAATAAATAAAATAAACTGAAAATTCAAAGGAATTGTACCTTCTCTGTTAACCTGGTTGCACTGCTCTAATTGACACTATGTAAAATTGCTTTATAGCTGGATATGGTGTTACACACTTGTAATCCCCTCTACTAGGGAGATAGAGATGAGGATCTCAGGTATGAGGCTAGCATAGAAACTTAGGGAGACCTTGTCTCAAAAATAAAATTTTAAAAAAGGGCTGGGGAGGTAGCTCAGTGGTAGAGTGTGTTGCTTATCTCTGGGTTCAATTCCCAGTATTGCCAAAAAAATTTTTTGGCAATTTTTGCCAAAAACAAAGATGTTTGGCATCTTTGCCAGGTCATTTAAACTCAGAAGCAAGATTTAGTATTTATTTAAGTTACATAGATGCTTCAGTCGTCGTGGGTATTAAATAAAATCTATAGGAGTCTATTGGTTTCAAATGAATTTCTGCACTAGGCCCAAAAGAGACCACACCAAAATGTAGTAATTCATGCTGAATTTCTCCTTCACCAAGCCAAAACTAAATTTGTTAGTCTGATCTTCCAAGAAATCAGTTGCATGAGAGATCCATTGTGTTGAATATTCTCATGGTGAAATAAATTAGTTTATAACAGACTTGTTGAGTTCAAAAACCCCAGAATGTCTTTAAGTGAAAGTTTTTCTTTCTTTTCTTTGTCATAGTCTTATACCAGTGTTTTATTTTTACTAATATCTAAACCTGTGGAATGTTTATTGCCTATAGATGAGGTAATTGATGATAATAGAAATTAAATCGGTCATTAGGATTGATGATCTGCATTTAAAAAAACAATGCATAAAGAATAAAAGATATATATAATAATATAAGTAGACATAGTGAAGAATGAATGCTATTGGGATGAGGAAAGTATTAGGTGTTAGAAGCAAAAATGAAATAAAAATCTTTGGAAAAATAACTCGTAGTAGATTCTAGTTCCTAAAAAGGAAATCCCAAAGGAATAGTCAAGGAATGCCATGAGTCCCAAGAAACATACTGTTTACCTCTGAGTTTTATTCACTGGGACAGTTTGTGAAATGTAAGCATTATGCTGTATCTTAGCTCCTTTTGTGCTGTTATAATAATACCATAGATTAGATAACTTATAATGAAAATAAATTTGTTTTTACAGTTCTAGAGGCTGAGTATCTGGAGAGAGCATTTTTCTCTGTCAACCCACGGTGGAAGGGCAAATACAGTGCAAAAGAGCCAATAAAGGGCCATATGTCTTGTTTTATAACAAACCTACTCTTGCGAAAACACCATTAATCCATTCACTCTGCCCCTGGCCTAATCACGTTAGGCCTCACCTCACAACACTGTTGTATTGAGGAATAAGTTTCCAACACATGTTTTTCAGAGGCCACTTTCAAACCATAGTACTATCATTAGAACTTTAGAGGAATGCTATTCACCCTCCCTTGTAGAGAGACAAAAACCCTTCCATCTTTTATCTCATATCTTTTCCTTTTCCTGCCAAACCTCTTTGACAAACTGTTGAATTTTGCTCTGGTATGAAATATCTCTTATTATATCCTAGAATTGTAGGATTCAGGGGAATGGTAAAGTGTTATTTGGTAAACTTAGAAATCTGGTCTACAGATATGCCTACCACTCTACCCCTGGTTCTTCATTGACTATCAGAAAAGATGAAAATTTATACAAATGTTGTTCTATAATCTTTGGTAAAGAAAAACATCCTGTAGCTTTTCACTAATTATTATATATATCTGTATATTTACATTAAGATAATAGTAGTAACTTTTTTGTGTGCTTCTATGTCCACCCGCTGAGTGCTAGGATTACATGTGTGCCAATAGTTACTTTTTTTTTTTTTTTTTTTTTGGTGATACTGGGGTTTGAATTCAGGCCTTGCACTTGCTATGCAAGGATTCTACCACTTGAGCCATACCTTAACCCTTTTTGCTTTAGTTTATGTTCAGATAGGGTCTTGCTTTTGCCCTGGACCAGCCTCAGATTGTGGTCCTCCTTCCTCTACCTCCCAAGTAGCTGGGAGTACAGGCACCAACCCCCACACTTAGCTTGTTTTTTGAGATTGGATATCATTAACTTTTTTTTACCCAGGCTGGCCTGGAACTGAGATTCTCTATTCTCTGTCTCTTATGTAGCTGAGATGTAGGGGTGAACTTCCACTCCTGACCCAATAGTTACAGTTTTTGAGAACACACTACATGGCTAATGTTATTAGGCATCTTACATATATTCTATAATTTATTTGTCACAAGTCTGAAATTTAATAGAATTTCTACATTTTACACAGATCTTGACACTCACAGAAATTAAGTAACTTGCCCCAAATCCCATAATAATGATTGATCAAACCCATATCTCTGTGACTCCAAAATCTGCAGGTTTTTTTCAAAAGACTATACTGCTTCTTTGATATGGAGATTCTTTTGTTTTAATAGAACTAACCCAGCAGCTTAATTATGCAGCCAGATGTTAACACTGGAACAAGAGTTCTATTCCTAAATTCTTAAATGTACTACTTTAAATATAAAGTATAGATGTTAATGTTCAGGTGAGCATGGTTTCAGCCACAATTTTCCTGAGTTTTATAGGAGGGTGTTCTCTTTACTTTGGATCCTACTATAAACATACATTGCTATTTCACTAAAGGCTGCAAAGATCCAGAACCATTATAAGAATGAACTCTTGTTTTCAGGAAAAGTAAGCATTAACTTCTCTGTTGAGGATTTCTTTATGTGATGCCATTGCTTTCAGACCTATTAAAGGAAGTTTGTATGTGTTGTCTAGAGAACATATTCTATTATTGAACAGTTCTTGTCAGAAAAGTTCTGGGTTTTTGTTTTGTTTTGTTTTGTTTGTGGTACTGGGTTTTGAACTCCAGTTCGCCACCACCAGCCACTTTTTTGTGTTGGATTTTTTCAAGATAGAGTCTCGCAAACTATTTGCCCAAGCTGGCTTCAAACCGTGATCCTCCTGATCTTTGCCTCCTGAGTAGCTAGGATTACAAGTGTGAACCATCAGCACCTGGGTCTTTTTTGTAATTCTGAACTAAGGAAAATGTTCTTAGTGAAGGACTTTTATATTTGCTACTGTTTTACTAACAAAAATATTTGAATTAGAAAGTACTCAGTAAATATTTGTAGTTAAAGAAAACTGCCTAATATGGATTTAAATACAGATTATAGTTTTAAATCTATGTTTCTTCTTTGTCTTAGTCCAAATCATAAAGACTTAAATTCTGTCTGTGGTACTCCCTTCTCCAAAAATCCTTTTTCCCTTAATGTCTCATAACTGTACTTATTATTTTAGTTCATTATGTTCATAAGTTGACTTTGTTTACCCAATGCATGGTAAGCTTTGCAAAAGCAAGTATCTAATTTGAACATTGTTTTGTGACCTTTGAGCCAATAATTCTTATCCTGAGACCTCTAACCTAGTTTATACAGTAAAGCTATACAATTTAACTAAGAAAGGTATCAATACTTTTGGCTGTTAGTTAGATCAACTTCTATAGTGTATTAATACAAGTTATTTCATGTTCACTAGAAGCCCTGATAAGACTGGAAAACAAACTGTCATTTAGTAAATGCCATTTATTTTAAAAAAAGACAACTTTCTAAACATGGGTCTTTAGACTGGGAATTAGTGTTTGATAGTGTCCAGTTCAGTTTTGGGTAATGATGATTACTTAAAGTATGGCTGATTTTATTGATCAAAAACAATTAATGAACTTTTTATTTTAGGGAATGTTGTGGGCAACCTGGGACATTCTTTCTTCAGTCAAAGTTTCCTCGGCAGTAAAGAACATGGTGGATTCTTATATGTGATATCTACCTACCAGTCACTGCAAGACCTAGTACTTCCAACCCCACCTTATTTGTTTGGGATTCTCATTCAAAAATGGGAAACTCCTTGGGCTAAAGTGTTTCCCATTCGACTAATGTTAAGACTTGGAGCTGAGTATCGACGTAAGTAGTGAAAATGCCTTCTTCTGAGCTATATGACCAAGGCACAGTGATTAAACAAAGCTTGAAATATCACTTGATGATACAATTCATCAGCTATAGTCTTTTTGAAATAGGCTAAATTTAATCAGTGTCTACTTATTTTGGCTAGGACTTATTTTAGGGGGAAGGACTGAAAATATCAAGTAGGGAAGTTGTTGATATTTATTACCTTATAAATTTACTGTTTTTATGATTCATTGATAAAAGCATGCTCATCTTTAGAAAAATTAATTTGCATTAACAAGCATCTTTATTTTTTATAGTATATCTGTAGTATATTGTGAGTATATTCATTGCCACTTGGTTGGAAAATAGCCATGAAAACTGTATATTACTTAACCTAACATACTGGAAGCCAGTAGAATAGAGAGGTAGACTACAGAAGTAGGGCTTCTTTGCCCATCACTATAGCAATGCAACTAAGTTGTGATTTTTTTTAAAGATATTAAAGGTAAATGCAGGCTTTATTTTAAACTTTATATCTTCTCCTACTTAAAAATCCCCTGTCTAGGAATCAGACCACTTGACTGAGGTTCTTAAATCCACCACTTACTAACTCTATAACTGTGGGAAAGTCACTCATGTTTTCTAATTGTTAGCTTCTCACTCAAGTACTTTGTAGGTTTTTTGTTGTTAATTGTTTTGTTTTGTTTTTGTAAACTGGAGATTTTAATGCTTGTCTTATATATTACACTGAATTGTTAAAAGAATCAATGAAACATTATTTTATAAACCCTAAATGGTAAGTTATATGTTTGTAGGAAGTCAGCTTTATTCTTTTATTTATTTACTCAATGAGAATTTAATAAAGGCCTCTCATGTATCATGAATCCTCAGAATTCAGAAATGTGTAAGACACAGTGATAGGCTCTTAAGTAATCTTTGTTAAGGAAGAGATACAGAAATCATTACTTCAGTGGTATGTTGTATTAAAATCCATGCTTAAAGTTAAGTCTTCTGGCACTCCAAGGTAGGCTGTAACTTGACCAACAATGAAGGAGTTGAATAAGAAACACTTCTTAGACAAATGTGCCATTGGAGAGAGCTCTGAAAGAGGCAAATAGATCAGCTAAAGGAAGCATGAAAAGGAAAGGATTGCATGCAGAGGAAGCAACATGTCTTACACAGGCATTTCAAACTATAAAGCTTGAGGGATGAGCCAGCCAGTAGTATCACCTAGTATGTGGCTTTCCTAAGGAGGGTCCTTCTTGGGAGGTATAGAAGAGTGAACTCTTGGGTATTGAGGGGGTGGGGGGAGAGGGAAGGGGTGGAGTGGGTGGTAAGGGAGGGGGTGGGGGCAAGGGGGAGAAATGACCCAAGCCTTGTATGTACATATGAACAATAAAACAATAAAAAAATAAATAAACTGCTACACAAAGTGGTAAAAAAAAAAAAAAGAAAGAGTGAACTCTTAAACCTTGAGTACAGAGGAATTAGGGGTTATTTGTTTCCTGGATCATGTCAATCCAGTGTGAAGAAGATTGCTTCATTAAGACCTGGTGAGTCATTTTTTAGACAACTGCATGAAAAGACTCATTCTGGTCATCAAAAGACTTGCTTTGCCTCAGGATTTGTTTGATACCATGTTAAATACTTTTTAAGCCCCTAAATTTGATATGTCCTAATGAGCCATTACAATTACATTTTGAAAATTACATTAGCCACGATGTCTCTTTTCCTAGAGTTTTAAGCTGCCAAACTTAGTCTGATCATTTCTCATTTCCAAAGTTTATCCCTGCCCACTCTTCAGTGTCAGATTTCGGAAGCCATTATTTGGAGAAACGGGGCATACCATCATGAATCTTCTTGCAGTAAGTTGGGAAATTTTCTTTTATCGTACTAGAATTTGTGTGAGAAAAGGATTTTATTATTTTATTGACAGCCATGCCCCTGCTGCTTCAGGTAGGTGAAGATTTAGGCTGGAGAAGAACAGAACATGCACACTTTTTGAAAAACATAAGGAGCTCTGGAGTGTAATAGTACAGCATTCCAGCCCTGACTTTGCAAGATTATTATGAGGACTAGAGGTACTGTAAAAATAAAGTACCTAGCATTTTATCTTGCTTTAACTTTACGACTGCCATTCCCTACATCTATATAGCTCACTATTCAGCAAAATATTGGTCAGAGGCTATACTCAATTACCTCACACCAGTAAGGCTTCTACTCTGTCGTGATGAATCTGTATATGAACTAGTATTTAAACTTCGTTCTTTTCCTGTATACTGGGCTCTCTTTGATTTTTTTGGACAAAATGTTGATTGGCTTGGGTTCAATAAAGTTTCTGCTGCACGTGTGCCCAGACTAAGGTCAATCCTGAACATTTGGAATGTTTATGGGGCTTCCTATGACTGAACTAGAACTCCTTGTTAAACTCTTACGTGTGTGTGTGCCTCTTTCTCTCTCTGTGTGTATATTCATACATATTACAAGTACTATCTTATGTATAAGACATATTTTTAAAGATCTTGTCCCAAACAGGCTGATAGAGCGATTGACCCTTCCTTTTTATTAATCACTAAGATTACTACTTTTTTTCTCCCAGTACCAGGGCCTCGTGTACAAGTGCTCTACTGCTGAACCACATCCCCAGCCCTTTTTCAATTTTTATTTTGAGACAGGATCTTGCTAAATTACCCAGACTGGCCTCAAATTTGGAATTCTCCTGCCTCAGCCTCCTGAGTAGTTAGAATTACAGATGTGAACCACCATGCCCATCTGATTACTACTTTTTGACAGCACTCCAGATCAAGTAAACTCCTTCAAGTAACAGAGCATACTGTTTTTACACACTACCTTGCCCTGGTTGAACCACCTTACTTGCCTAACGGCTTGGGGTAGTTAGGTAGCCCCAAGAAAGAAGGCCACTGTATCAACTCTACTTTTCTTACTTAAAGCTCAGTAGTTTTCATGAAAAACACTTTTCATTGTGTTATCTTCCTTTGATCTAATTTCAGAACACTGAAATGATTATTTTTGTAAACTGTTTACCTAGCTTTTAGTTGCTTTTGGGAGAGTGGATTCAATGACATTCTCACTTTGCCATACTGAAAGTTGTAGTTCCACTTATCTTTTAAAGATAACTCTTACAGATTTACCCATGTAGTTGCCATTTTCAGGTTTTTTTTTTCCCTTTATGTAACTCTGTATTTCTATCTGAATGTCATTTTCCTTCTGCCTGAATGATTACATATAGTTACTGGTGATGAATTCTTTCAGCTTTTATATTTCTAAAACTTTATTTCATCTCCATATTTAAAAGATATTTTTTCCAGATGTAAAATTCTACAGTGACAGTTTTGCTCCTTGAGTATTTTAAAGATGGTGCTCCACTGTTTCTTGTTTATTTTGTTTCAGTTGAGACATCTATATTTCTTGTGTTTGGGGTTCATTGAGCTTCGAGTATTTGTGGGTTTATAGTTCTCATCAATTTTTTTTTTCCTTTATGTTCTTCACCTTCTCTCCTTCAGGGATTTCAATTACATATATGTTAAACTGCTTGAAATTGTTTCACAGCTCAAAAGTTTAAATTTTTTTCTATGTTTCATTTAGGATAGTTTTTTGGTGGCAGTAGGGTTTGAACTCAGGTCCTCCACACTTGATAGGCAGATGTTCTTTTGAGCCACTCCATCAGCGCTTTTCTGTGCTGGGGTTTTTTTTGAGGTAGGTTCTTGCAGACTATTTTCCCTGTGCTGGCTTCAAACTGTGGTCCTCCTGATCTCTGCCCTCTGAGAGGCTAGGATTACAGACGTGAGCCACCAGCTCCTGTCTTGGATAGTTGTGGTTTTTTTATCTTTTTTTTTTTTGGCTAGGCATTCAAATTTACCAAATGAACTTTTATTTCACAATGTTTAAGCTGCTATTAATTCCACCATATTAAAAAAAAGAAACTCAGACATTTTCATCTCTAAAAGTTTTACTTGAGTCATTTTAAATATTTTATGCTTCTATTTAGCTTTTTTTTTTTCTTTTCTTCCACTAGGGTTCGCACTCTGGGCCTGTTGCTTGCACTCTACCACTTGAGTCACACCCCAGCCCTTTGACCATGTCCCTAATTGGTAATTCTAACACCTTGTGTCAGTTCTAGTTTAGTTTCCATGGATTGGACCACTACCCGCCAATATCAAATTATATTTTCCTGTTTTTTCCATGGTTGGTATTTTTCATTGGATGTCAGTCATTGTGATTTTACTTTGTGGAGTGCTGGGTATTTCTGTGTTTTTATCAATATTCTTGAGACCTGTTGCAAGTAAAATAGTAAAGTTACTTAGAAACACCTTCCCTTCCCCCTTCTACATCTCAGTAAATGCCAGTTCCAGTTTTCTAATAGCCCTGACAATAAAACTTGAAATCATTTTTAAACTCTTGTCCTTTGTTCTCATTCCGTATCCAACCCAGTGGCAAATATTACTAGTTTTCTCTTAAAATAAGTATAGAATCTGACAACTTTTCACAACCTTTTGAACCCTTAGCAACCTGGTTTAAGATACCACTATCTCTTACCTGGATTACTTTTATTATGTTTATCTTACCTCCTTTCACTTAAACTTGCTCACTTGCCACCTATTCTAAGTCTATTAAAGCAGGTCACAAGTCTTTGTGGTGCCTTGTATGATGGTATAGCTCTCCAGAGGCGTAAGTAGGAGGATTGAAAGATGTAGGGCAGCCTGGGCTAGATAGCAATACTGTTTCTCAAAAAAAAAAAAAAAGGCCAGGCACCAGTGGCTCATGTCTGTAATCCTAGCTACTCTGGAAGCAGAGATCAGGAGGATCATGGTTCAAAGCCAGCCTGAGCAAATAGTTTGTGAAACCGTATCTCGAAAAACCGAGTAGGGCTGGTGGAGTGGCTCAAGGTGAAGGCTCTGAATTCAAGCCCCAGTATTAAAAAAAAAAAAAAGGTTTTGTGGTGACCTACAAGAATCTATGAAATCTAGCTGTACACTGTCACTTTGTCCTTGACTCCTACTACTCTTACTCATTTTGCTTCAGTCATACTTACTGGATATGGAGAGAGAGAGAGAGAGAGTGAGTGAGTGAGTGTGTGTGTGTGTGTCTACAGATACTCATTGCCTAAAATGTTTCAAGTGTTAGGGATGTTAGCAAGAATAAAATAAGTGAGAGTCTACCCTCTTGGAGCTTAAAGACTGTTAACAAATAAATATGGAAAATTTTAAGTGGTGATTAAGCGGAACAAGCATTCAACTATTTGTTGAATGTTATATATAAGCAATATAGGAAACTATTTGGTTTGTTTCCTTATAAATATTTATAATCTACCTGGAGAGGTAGTATACACACAGTAAGGCTTTCATTACACATTTCCTCACTGTTTAAATAAATAGGATTGTTCAATATTGGCATACTTTTCATGTGTGCTAGTTTTAGTTCTGTAAATCACATTCTATCATTGATGATTTCTTTATTTAATTCAATCTGTTTTTTTCTCAGGACTTCAGAAATTACCAGTATACTTTGCCAGTAGTTCAAGGTTTAGTAGTTGATATGGAAGTTCGGAAAACAAGTATCAAAATCCCCAGCAATAGATACAATGAGGTAAGATTTACCATGAGTGCAAATTTTTAATAGGTGAAAATGTGATGAAAGTGAAAAATAAATGATCACATGTAAATTTTATTTTTAATTGACAGTAAAATCAGACTAATATTTTATGGCTTAGTTCAATTATGAAAAATTTCATTACAGAAAGGCATAGTGTGTTAACTAAATTCATGACTGGTTTAGTCATTAGTGTGTCATTTAACCTTTTGATACTGTGATTTGCATCTTTGATTAAAAATATAAAATTAGCTATATATCCATAATATTAGTGGTGAGGTTTTTTTTTCACTTTTCCCTCAATACATATGTATATTTTGGGTTTTAGTTAAAGGAAATTTTTATTTTAAAGCTTAATTTGATATAATAATGGTTAAAATGTATTACTTTATTAGGCACTGTGGTAACTCCCAATCATTTCTTCCACTGTTTCTTAGATTTTGTAATATGTGACAATTTCCTCCCTCCATTCCTTTCCATTCTTCCTTTTTAACTTTCTGTTCTTCCTTCTTCATTCAGCCATATATTCAATTAATCATTTATACATTTGGTACACATTTTATACTTAGTATGCCCTTTGAATCAACAGCATTATTATGAAAATGACCTGTGTGAAGAAAGCTTTTATTCTTGATTTCCATTTGATGTGTTTATTTTGCTTTTTAATTTTTTTCAGGAAATAGTTTTTCAGAAAATAGTAGCTAGAATGTGTGTTTAACTTTTCCTGAAATACAATTAGCTGTTAAATAGTCCTACCTCAAATCATCAAAGAATAATAGGCTAGCCTATGTAGAGTCTACTTTCTCTACTAGACTTATTAGTACCATGCAGGACTGTGTCTGTCTTTATTTACCACTGATATCATTAGCAGGCTCCCTAGTGCAGAGTAGGTCTGCAAGAAATATCTGTTCAGTGAAGACATGAAACAATATGAAAGCAAGTGTGGAAACCTCTTAGAAGAAATATTCTCTAAAGTTTTGGAGAAAGAAGACCTCTCATGAATGAATAGTCAGAAATGCTCCTACATTTCTTATTGATCCTGAATCCCTAATAGCCAAAATAGCATGTTGCATGTAGGAGATGTTTGTAAATGTTCATCAAATGACTGAATGAATGAACCATCCTTGCATCCCTGGAATGACTGGGACAATGGTGTATGATCTTAATGTACTGTTGAATTCAGTTTGCAAGTATTTTGTTAAGAATTTTTGCATCTATGTTCATCAAAGAAACTGGTCTATAATTTTCATTTTTGTTGTTGTGTCCTTGTCTGGTTTTGGTATCAGGTAATACTGGCTTCATAGAATGAGTTTGGTAGCATTCCTTCCCTTTCTATTTCATGGAATAATTTGAGTAGCATTGTCATTCTTTGTATTTTTAAGTCTCCATTTCATTAATTTCTGCCCGAATATTATTTTTTTCATCCTACTTGTTTTGAGATTGGCTTGTTCTTGTTTTGCTAAGAGCTTAAAGTGCATCATTTGGTTATTTGTGATCTCTTTTTTTGATATAGGTGCTCAAGGCTATAAACTTTTTTCTCAGCACTGCCTTTGCTATATCCCAAAAGTTCTGGTAGGTTGTGTTTTCATTTTCATTAGATTCTAGGAACTTTTTGATTTTTCCCTCTTATTTCTTCAATGACCTAGCAATGTATTGTTCAGTCCACATGTTGGAATATTTTCTATAGTTTCTTTTGCTGTTGATTTCTAGTTTTATTTCACTGTCTGAAAGAGTACTATTTTCTATTTTAGAAAATACTAGAATATTTTATTTCTGTTTTCTTAAATTTGTTAAGACTTGTTTTGTGTCTGAAAATGTGATCTATTTTGGAGAAGGTTCATGGGCTGCTGAAAAGATTGTATATTGTATAGCTGCTGGATGAAATATCCTGTAGATGTGTGTTAAGTCCATTTGGTCTATACTGTCAATTAGTTCCAAACTTTCTTTGTTGATTTTTTTTGTCTTGATAAAATATTGATGAGAATGGGAAGTTTCCCATTATTATTGTGTTGGGATCTCTCTGTGTATTTGCATATTAATGAAGTTGGGTACACCAACATTTTATGCATATATGTTAACAATTATTTTCATTTTAAAAATGAAGTGACCTTTTTCTCTTCTGACTAATATTGGTTTGAAGTCTGCTTTATCAGATAGGAATATAGGTACTCTTGCCTACTTTTGAGATCCATTTACTTAAAAGATCCTGTCTTTCCTTTCAATCTAAGCTAATTTTGTCTTTGACAGTGATATGTGTTTTTTATAGGCAACAAATGATCAGGTCTTGCTTTTTAATCCAGCTTGCTATTCTGTATCTTTTGATTGGAAATTGAGACTATTAACATTCAGTGTTAATATTGAAAGGTATGTAGTATTTCTGATAGTTTGTTGTTTTATGATGTTTACTTTTTTCCTCATCCTCATTTGCTAATCTACTTGCCTGTGGGGATATTCTTTCTTGTATTTTTCTGATTGCATTTATTTTCCTCTTCTGTGTGTAGAAATTCTTTAAATATCTTCTGCAGTGCTGGTTTTGATAGTCATGAATTCCTTTAGTTTTTGTTTATCATGGGAAGTTTTTATTTCTCCTTCAATTATGAAGGATAGCTTTGCTGAATACACTAATGTAGGTTGACAGTTGTGTCCTTTCAGGGCTTAAAATATATCATTCTGTGTCCTCCTTGAATGTAGAGTTTGTGTTGAGAAACTGCCATAATTCTGACAAGTTTGCATTTATATATGAGTTGTTTCTTTTGCAGCTTTCAATATTCTCTCTTTGTTCTGTATATTTAGTGTTTTAATTGTAATATTAGCTTGTTTCTTTTCTGGTCTTCCCTGTTTGGTGTTCTGTAAACCTTCTATACCTGGATGACCTCTGTTTCTTGAGACCAGGGAAGTTTTCTTCTATTATTACATTGAATAAGTTGTGTAAACCTGTAGTTTTTATCTCTTCTTCTTCTGTACCCATGATTCATAGGATTTGGTCTTTTAATGCTGTCCCAGAGATCTTGCATGTTTCATTAATGTTTTCTTAGGAATTTCTGATGCACGGGTGTGCTATACTCAGCCAAGGCAGGTTAGGGTTTTCCCAGTATTAAAAGAGTTTAACAATAGAAAAACTCCAGCAAGGTGAAAGTAAGAAAGATTTATTTTACCAAGAAGTGAAAGCAGAAAGGCCTGCTCTTTATGCTGAGAAGTACTTTGAGCAGTGGTCTGTAAACTGGATATCCCCTGAGGGTTGTGGGAATGCTCTTTTGATTTTCTTTGCGATGGTTCCTTATCTCCCCAGGATGGCTGTTCTTGGCTAGTGCTTGCTGCTTTTCCTCAGGATAGCTGTTTGTGGGCTGGGGCCAGCCACCTTTCTGGTGATTCTGGTGATCTCTATCTCAAATCCGCCATCTCCTTTCATTTTCCATTGTCTCTGACAGATTTATCCAGTTTTTCTGCTTTGTCTTCAATCCCTGGTACTCTTGTCAGTATGTTCCATTCTGTTAGCCAGACTTTCATTTGAGATTATTTGAGTTATTGAGCTTTTCACTTCCAGAATTTCAATTTGATTTTTTTCTGTATCTTTATTTAATTCTTCTTTCATATCCTGCAGTATCTTCTTCCTTTCAGTCATCGGTTTGAATTCTCTTTGATTTCAGTTACGTGTTTATTTATGGCTTCTTTGGATTCATTCAGCTGCTTCTACACTTCCTCTTTAATTTCTTTGACCATTGGTGTCTTTTTTTTTTTTTT